CTCGGGTTTCCGCATCCCAGCCCGGATTCAGGGCGAAGAGGAGGAGAACGACGGCAAGCCGTCCTCTGCCTCCTCTGGTTCTCATCACTGAATTTGCTCCCAAATCCTTCGCCGAATTTGGGCACGCACTTCAGCTCTTCGTCTTTGCTTTTTCGCTTAGTTTTGTTAGGCTCTACGAGCCATTTGCTTGCTTTAGTCGTTGCTTGATGTTTGCTTGTTTGTGCCGCTGCCGCTGTTGTTGTGACATTTTGCCCGTTTGGGCATTTGTCAAAGGGGCTCGTGAGAGTCCTGTTGTGCTTTGGGCTTTTCGTGTGAAGAATGAATAAAAGTCCTTCGGGTAGTGTTTTCATGTTGACGAGGGGATGGGTGTTGCTTTTACTTCCTTTCTTCTTCCTGAAGAGAGAATGTAGCCATAGGTGCGATTTTTTCCACTGTAGATGATGAGACCTGCTGCAGCTTCCTCAAACAAGGCAACCGACCGAAAAAGGTCGGTTTTAATAATGGAGACTTTGATGATTACACATCTTTATCCCATTTGCAGTTGCTGAGGATAGGTCTCTTTCCCCTCGACAGCAGCAATCTTTGATTGCTTCCTTCCTTCCTTCCTTCTACCCCACTTTATTTTAATTGCTCACTGTTCTTGCTGCAGGCAAAAGAAGAGCATTTCATAAAGAAAAAGATAAAAAAGGAAGATTGAAGACTTTGCAGGTTTAACTTTTTCTTCCAGCTGTTACTATTTTTTATGTTCTCTTTTTTGCATTGCCCTTTGTCTCTCTGTGAAGTTTCTCTTATGTGGGTTCTTTCGTTGCCATTATGATCTTTAGAATGCAGGGAATCAGAATCAGTGTCTTTTTTTTTTATTAAAAAAAGCGCATTAAAATCTGAACCTAAACGCATATCCACCCCCCTTCGCCAATATTTGAAGTATTTGCTGACACCTATGTATTCTCATTAGGGGTGTTAACGGAGCGGATACGGCTCGGATATGGCACTTACCATATCCATATCCGCTTACCCATCTCGGATACGGATACGGATACTGATATACGTCGGTAAGAAAAATTCATATCCATATCCGCCAAAATCGGATACGGTTACGGATATAGATGCGGATATATAAACGGATATGCATGCGGATACAAAAAGTATATGAGAAAACTAGATAGTATTCAGAAAAATATAGTCACGTGATACAAAAAGAGTTCGTTAATATGTTCATTATGATTGAAAAGCTAAGATTAGACATCTTGATCATCAAAATTAACCACAAATCCATAATCTAAGAATCGAAACTATCGTAAGAGTATTACCAATATGTATTCGGATTTTTTCGGATACGGATACGGATATTTCACTATAAAACCATATCCGCAACCATATCCTATCGGTAATAGATTTGAGTAACCATATTCGTATCCTAACGGATACGGTTACGGATATTTCCTCGGATACGGATACGGTTTGGCACCCCTAATTCTCATCGCATCGCGTTGTATTTTAAAGCCTGCTAATGCAATCTAATTTATTGTTACTGACTAATTACGGTAAATTAATTGATACTAACTAGCAAAAAGACCGATACAAATGAAAAGTTTTTGTAGTGCTATTGGAAGAGAATAACCAAAAAACTAGTCATTAAACTAACACATTCCTTGAGATGAGAAATCTAATAAACCATCGAAACATCCGATACGCAAATCAAAACTTGAAACCAGAATGTAGCTCATAGGATAAGTCTATTAAAAATTGGTAAGAAAAGAGGGAAATGAATGCATTTTCTGTCATTTTCAATAGAAACGAAACACGACAGTTTCCTCCATCTACCGCTTAAGTCGTTCACAGATAGCAACCTTATTAGCTATTGGCAGAAATTAAAAAAAAAAAATTCAGATATTTCGAAGCAGCATTCATTCCTGCATTAGCATTTGATGCTACGACACGTGTCAGGAACAAACATCAAAATCACTTCCCATTAATTTACCAGCATCTCAGTAACATGCACATCAAAATTTGCACAAGATCCCTTGATTTTTTTAAAAAAAAGTGGGTGGGGGGGAAGGAGCAACCCCCCACTCAATTCAATGAGATTGATTCCTTTGCCACAATTGAGCTGATAAGATCTGCTGCTTGAATTGGATCAATAAGCGTCCAGTCTGCACTACCTGAACTCAAAACGCGCATTAACCTCTCCCTAGTTATGATCTCTCGAACCAATTAACTCGATTTTAGCCCAGCACAGCTGCCAGCAGCAGAAAAATTTCACCTAGGTCGGTGGCCCTCATCACTGCGGGCTGAGGTATGGTGGGCCCCCACATGATCAGCTACCCTTGATCTCATGGCGATCGAGACTCGGCATGCAGCGTCACCTGCACTCCGCTTGCCAGCCGATTTAGGGCATGGAGACATCTACGCTAGTGGGAGGTAGCTCAAGCGCCCATACAAGTAACACTTTGGTAAAAGATACCCGAATAATTACATCCAGGTATCATGTGGTATTGTGTAATTATACGGATACGCCTAAACTCTGCCTTGCGTACGTATATGGGTAACTAAAACAAACTGACACCAGGGTGGCCCGTGTACTTACAATCAGTAATTTTAGAGTTACTTATGTAAATACACAGACTCTAGAGTGCCGTACATCATATACCTCATCGTATCTAGATGTAACTACTAATCCAAGGCTAGATTACAAAAAATCCCGCTAAGATTGGCAAGATTCACACGAGCACCTTCCACGAAGTTAAACTTGGATCTGGAATCTGGGTTAAAATTATATGATGATTACTGTACTCCCATGATTATGTCAAAAACTGAAGATTATTTGACTAGAAACTGAACGGACGAGGAAAATGTTACATGTAAAGTCTTAAGGAGATATTTTTGTCATTCCTAGAGATCACAGGGGTTTTCTGTACTCCCCTGGAGTTTTTTTTTTTTTTTTTTTTTTTCTTNTTTTTTTACCTCGGTGAAAATGTTGAGAATTACAGAACCATAATTTTTATGTTTTCAAATCTGAGCACCGAGTGAAGATAGCAGAAAGTGCTAAGCTTCCCTTCAGTGAGCAACGTCTGCAACATTGCCCACAAGGGACAAAAATGCAGGACAGTGAACTTATTGAAGATGAACATAGATGCACACTAAATAACAACAGCAAAAAAACTTCTCTGATCAGATTACAGCTATGAACCTTCACATGAAGGAGGCAGAGGCTATGTGCAGTGTGCAGGTACAGATAATTTTACACGGTGTAATTTTTGGCCATATACTGAACTGTAAATATTAACGCTATGAAGAAAATGCATAAGCTTGCACAGGTCTCAAATTTATCACTAGTAACTATTGCAAGTACGACACCAGATAATTGAATGTAATAAAAGGAGATCATTGTCAACTATTGTTCGCTATATTCATCCAAGCATGTCTAATCTTGACTTCACGACCTTTGCGTATAATACATATACCTGAAATTGCAACTAAAATACGAGAAAATTGATCAGAGAGTAGGATATACTAAGAACACTGGACCTGTTAGAGATGCACTACTAACAGTGGGAGAAATATAAACGACACAGAAGACGCCAAGGTTTATGTGGCTTGACGTTTAAATGACCATCACAGTCAGTAAAAGAGATACTACATCAGTAAACAAATGATGCATAGGTCTACTAAAGAAACAGAAGATGCGTACAAAAGTATAGAGTTTAGAGTTATGTTTCTCAGAAACCCGCTTAATTCATACCAATACCTGTATTCATATATTTGCATGTTAACTGCTCAAGACACACACACAAGTTAAAAGAGAAACTTGAATGCTGCAATTTGTGATAAACGTTGGTAGTTGAGCAACTCCAACATCAACAAAGATCTCTTGTCAGGCTTCTAAAATTAACACTTCCATATAAATTTACATCATTGTTTCTGGTCACAAGTTTAAGCCAATATGTACAAACGTCAAAAGATCAGTCTGGTACCAACATCTCGGTGTCTCCAAACTTAAGGGAAGATGGGATCAAGCGACAACCATCTTAGTCGATAACATAGAAAAGTGAACGCATCAAAAAATCAAATCATCCACATAACCAACATTCCAACTATGGGTGACTTCAAAGCAAAGAAAAATAATGGGTGATAACGACTTTATGATTTATCCACATACACCCAGCTAATATATGCTGGAATCCAGACACCCATCGATATCTGTTCCAGCTAAGATGCTACAAGACAAAATCTAAGTTCAAAACACATCAGGTGAAAAAAGTATCAGGTTTGCAGTAAATCACAACTTATATGCAAGAACCAAACAAAAAACCAATCCCAATCAGGTATAATTCCGACACCAATCTTACACTATAATGACAACAAACAGGAAAAATACAATGCCTATATACATCAGATGAATAACAAATTACAGGTAGTAACTGTCTGTTGGCCTTTTATTTTTCATGAAACAGTAAATTTAATTAACAATCACGGGTATGTACCTTCTTGAGCTTAAACAGCAATTCCACTTGCTTGTGGGGGAGGACGGTTTTGATCCTGCTTCAACTTTGATTTCGGATGAGATAAGGTTGCCGCTGGTTTTGGACATGTTTCTTGTGGGACTGCTTTCTCATCCATTGGTTTATGTAGTATTCTCTTTGCTGAACTTTTACCATTGGTAGCTGCAGTTTTAACTGGAGTCAGCACTCTCGAAGAATTTGCATTTGTTTTTTTATCCACCTTGCTTTTTTTGGGGCTCGTTGGTTGAACAGGGAGCCTCGTCTCCCATGGACGAGCAGCAATCCACCGTTCTGTCCAGCTCCATCCCCAGTTACCATCTCCGAATTCATATGATAGCTGGCCTTGACCGGAGTTAGCCCTCCACTATAGAAAATTATAAAAAGGTTGATGAGTGTTGTGTTTACATGATACTTATGCCTATTCTATTTATTATTAATGGTTTATAGACCTGATGAGAAAATGCATATGCCATGGCTCGTTCACGCTTCACTGCTGCTTCCTCTCTTTGTTGTATCCTGAAGAGGATTTCTTCCATTGTTTCAGAACCACCACACCAATCCACCTGATGAAATCAACAGGCAACAATTGTGCCCGTAAATGCAGTTATGAACTTGATTCAAAGTCTGGATAAATGCATTTGTAGAAAGATTTTAAGAAATAAGTTTCTAAATTTAATTCAGATGATAGCGATTTGAAGTGATTTTGATCCTAATCCCTCTATAGCTTATGTCTAAACTCAAGCCGATGCATGCTTTAAAAAAAGAAAGAAAGAAAGAAAGGTGAAGTTGGTTTTCTCCAAATTTGCGCACCTAACTACGTTAGCATGCAATCCAACGGAAATGTAAGTTTAAGCTTGAAGAACGTGTACAGTATGCAAGCTAGAGTTATTTAGACAATAAATACAGATAAAAAAGAAAAGTCAGAAACTAGCTTTGTGGTAAACTGTTATACACTCGTCCTTACATGCCACCATTGAAGGGGTAAGGAATTGTACAAAGTTTGTATATACTACAAAATAAGAAACTTATCAACAATACAATCTATGAGGACACAGTTCCATGAGTATGTAGTTCGGAAGTTTCACATCAGTTTTATACATAAAATATAAGTTTCGGTAACAATCTAGAGACTAAAAAAAGTAATTTGTGAGAGTTACCTCTATGTCATGAAGCTTAGCCTCCAGTTTCAATTGGTTTTCTTGTTTTTTCTGCTTGATGCGCCCTTCTGTTACCATATAAACACGTCGTGTTCTAATCTCTGCTTGTATTTTGCTCCAGGACTGGACATAGCTCAAAGTGGTGGACGTCTGTTTCTTTATGGAATATCCTTGGCCAATGACTTGTAGTCTCTGTAACCCTTTCAAACGGCGCAACGCCCTTCTTGCCTGCAAGCACAAATAAGTATCACTCAGACTGACATAAGAGTAACACACGTGAAAGAAGTATCAACAGATGAGGTCCAAAAATAGTAACTGGAATGTGTCCTACCTACTAATGCTCAGAAACTATTACATACCATAATAGCTCCTTCATTCCATTAACACGCAGAGGATGTAAGCAAACATTTAAAATTTGTTATTGTCCTTGATTTTAAAGGGTTATATAGGAAGATATGTTTAACCCACACTAATCACATAACTCGAGGAAAGAACCTATATAATACAGCAAAGGGGAAACTGTTGAATTAAATGTCATTATCTGTAGACTATACTTTATAATTTATGCTACTGTTGATTACATAATAGCTTAGGATGTATGGAAGATCTATTCCACTAAGCCTCTTAGATTCTCTCTATTTGGTTCTTCCTTGGTTCTTTCTATCTTGGACATGGTCTCTTGTAATGCATTAAATAAATATTACAAGGGGTGTCAAGCAGAGAATGCCGTGTGGCTGAAAATCTAGTCCATCTCAGACGATGATCAATGAATTTTTTGCTGAATCAGGACAAATTAAAACCAATCTAGAGAGCTTGGCTATTAAGCTCACCTCGGGCGGTATCCTCTCGTGATATGCTGGGGGCTAGTGAGATTCCCTATTCTCTATACCTACCCGCCTGCCGCCTTACTTTTCCAGAAATCAAAGGAAGTTGTCTAGCAGATAACTATCTCCGCTAACAGGGAGTTGACACGTATAATCCCCTCAACAAAATATTACTGTGCTGAAACATATCTTCTTTGTGAGTTGCAGCATCATAAACTTGTAAGGTTTATAGTTAATACCTAACTTAAGTGATGTGATTAAATCTTAAGAATATGCTATATTCAATATGTTAATTCCTTTACAGTTATTTTACCAAATCTGAAGTATCCAATCATTATCCTTCAAGCTTGTATATATTTTTCTTATTAATTTCCTATTTTCTTATCATGCCATATATGTAATCGATATGAACTAATTTCAGATCTATATATGTTTTCTCACCATGATAAAAACAGTTTATAAGTTCATTTGCTAGTACATCCGTATCACCATCATTGCCTTTCCATGAAAATGGGGTTTAGCATGGAGAATAACCGTAAAAAGAGATGGCGAAACTTGGAGAATTAACCAAAATTTATGACCAATTGTAAATCTCACATCAACTTACAAGTAGACGTACAATTACAATTACAAGCCAACTTAACTGTCGAAAAGTGAGCATGTTTTCCACATCCCATAAGGAAAGTTGACAGGTAGGAAAACCTACAATATTGGTCATGCCGTTGAAGCACCGATGGCCGATTGCTTAAGAGTCATTCCTATCTCCCTCTGCAGCTTAAATTTATCTTGGTAACATATAACAGATAACATACATTTGTGTTCACATGTTCAGATAATGTCGTGAACTATGTTACCTGGGTACTTCTATTAGGAAGCCGTACCCGTACTTGACAAGTACCCACACCCATACCCATACCCAAACCTCTTGGACACTTCTTGAATATATGCGTATGTTTATTTGGGCGTATACTCAATTATATAATACATGATTTAATTTAAAACACTCCTCATACATTTTCTAAATGTATATTCTATACTTTAAATCTATTTCTTGTGTATTAATCTTATGTAAATGAAAAAACATGTAGTTGTGTCCCCGTATCCTACCTTCTACAAATTTGTGGTGTCCCGTTCCGGTACTTGTACCCACAACCCAGGCCATGAAAAAACATATTGATCTAATGTAAATTATTAATTTTAATACATATAAATATACATAACATGCATATATATAGTTGTGTCCCTGCACCCTACTTTTTACAAATTTACTGTATCCCGTGCTCGTACCCGTAGCCACACCAATACTCGTACCCGTACCCATGCAACCTAGGCCATCAATAAGACTAGAAAACCGGGTAACAGAGATAGTCACTCATACAAGATATTATCATTTCTTCATACCTACTTTTTACAAATTTGCTTCTGCAACCAGAAAAGTTTCCGGTTAAAGAAAGTTAAGAATGCAATATCCATTATACAATTTACCCATGATTTTGTTAGCATGTCACTTTAAAAAGTTTATTGTAACCTAGGAAGCACAAGAAGTCAAAGTAGAGCCCCATGTCTTTTTCCAACAGATGTTGGACAATAATGATACTTCAGCGGCATGTATGGAGCATATCGGAAGCATAATGGAGTTAGCATAAGTTTAAAAATGTGTATGGGAGGTACTTCAGCTTTAAAATAAAATTAAAGTTGTACATCAAATATCTGGAGCTATGTGTTGCTTAAGAGTAGAAAGAGAACCTTAGAGATGAGATATATTAATACTAAACACCTCATGAACATGTTCCAAGCACCATAAGCATGTATTAGATCAGGGTATTGAATTGGACTTTTAAATTTCTCATCTTGATTTATTTCAAGAAGCTATATATTTAAATCACGGTGACATTGTTTTGTGTTACTATCTTCATAAAATAGGCCTTGATCACTACTGAAGTTTGATGTGTGCAATGTATGGATGTATACATGCACACACGGAAACACTCATGTTTTTGTGTCTTTATCTTACTTTTTTCTCCCTTAAAATCTTACTTTTGAAGGATCTATTATGACAAATTGTTTGTCCCATGTGTATGTCCTTGCTTTCTAAATTGTAACTTTCTTGACTCATATCGAAAAGACATGTATCTCAATGCTCATTGTATAGTTTAGGACGCTTAACATTATGGTCACCCACATAAAAATTCCATTTAATTCTCTCACTAAAGCCAGAACAATTCTATATCAATCCGAATGAAAGACCAGAAACGACACTGTTTATTTACGTTTGATCTTTAATTATGCCTTCTCAACAATCAAATTCACCATTCTTTTTCATTTCAGCTTCCCTCAATCATGATGGAAAAGCCTTCTTGTCCTTAACAAGGATGATTTTAAAAGCCTCAAAAGTGAACAACTGGCTTAATGCTTTAATTCCTTCAAAACTTCATCTTCCTCGAGGAAAGAGGATATCCTCTTTCCATTTAACAACAATGACTCTAAACTTGTAGAGAGTTGGTTTTTAACTTGGGGCAACGAGGTCACATGTTCAAGGATATAACACAAATATTTTTAGAAGAATTTTTTGGCCCATATTAAGAGAAGTGAGGGAGCTACTATTTAGAATGATAAGTAATTGTTACGACCTAAAAATCACTAAGTATAAATCTCCATTAAGACGCTGACATGTGTCCCTGCACGTAATCAAACAAACCCCTAATCGAGACGACTCAAGCCATTTCTGTGGCCGACTCGATCGGCCGACAACTTGCGTAACCGAGTCAAAAGACGGTACTTGTCAGCCAACCCACCAAATCGACTCGTACACGGCCTACTGTTCAGCCGACCACTCGCGTAGCCGACTTAAAAGGTGGTGCTAGTCGGCTCTTAACCAAACAAATAGAGAAATGACAGTTATCTCGAAACTCTCGCTAGCCGACTACTCTTGCATTAACTGCTTTGACAAATCATCATTACTCTAGCCACCATAGTCTTTATGACTCATCGGACCTAGTTAGCGCCAAGCACCTGCTGTTGTTCCCTTATTATATGACCAGATGAGTCACTCTCTTTCATGGCCGACACCTGAACGATGATTGCCGACTCAGCTGCCTAGCTGGACTCGGCCCAAGTTACCTTTTTGCCTTTCCAATCCACTATCAAAGGGAGCAACATTGTATATGGTAAAGGCTAGTTTTCATGCAACTGTGAATTACTCTATCTCTATATTTTCCAATTAAGATCAATTACTGACTTGATCGTCGGAGGAGTAACCGGAGATCTCAACTCCGTCCTCTTATGAGCTCTTTATGTGCAGGGAAGAACAGTAAACCTTAGAACCTGTCATCTGAAGGAGTTTGAGGACCTAACACTCTCATAATCCTCACACAAACCCCTTGTTTGATAACTGACATCAACAGTATTACATGTATTTATCTTGTTAAAATGACAACTCTAGTATCAAATTGCAGCAAGCTAGGTTGCATACGTTTTTTGCTTTTATTTTACCTTATCTTTTTATCTTTTACAAAGGAAAGAAAAAAAATAGACAAGTAGTCATTTAGGATTATGAGCAAACCCCTCTCTTATCCATAGTTTACTTGGTACGAAAATTGACACTAATTAAGAGAGGGTCGATTTCAAGTTGACAAGAGCCTTGTTAATTATGAAGGAAAGAAGCTTACATAATGATAATGACAATGATCTAATTTTTTGTTTTATTTTTTACATTTTGGCTTTTTTTTGGGGGGGGGGGGGGGGGGTGAGAGGGGCAGGGTTGGGGGGGGGGTAAAGAACATATATAGAAGATTAGAACAGCAGGCGAATAGTAACCACATATACAACAATCACCCGATGAACTATTTCAATCAAATCAGGCTCTTTTTTGTATCATGACCACAGCTTCTTTCAGATTAACCCATAAAAGTATATATATATATATATATATATATATATATATATATATATATATATATATATATATATATATATATATATATATATATATATAATATATATATATTAATAATAATAACTTACCCTAAATCCTCGAAATGCAGTTTGAATTCGCCTTGCAGCTCTATCCTCCAGAGTCAATCTAAGATCTTCAGGGTTTCCACTAGATGCACCATTACATAATGCATTTGAAACTTTACTGTTGGAATGATTTCTCCACTTCGATGCATTTGATCGTTCACTAGAAGGCCCCTGTGCCAAGGCAGATAATAGCAAACCATGAGTTCATTGTTTTTCAATGACGATCATCAAACTGATGAAACCGACAATATAGACACAAGGTCCAACTTTGAACCTAAAATTGTGAAGTTAGAAACATACCATACAAAGTAAAACTACCATGACATTCTTTTCAGCATAAATTGGCAAAATTCATCCATTCCATATTCATGTCTCTTATCGGTTAGAAGAGTGTATGCACAAGATAAAACTACACTCATTAGAATCGTGAACGAAGAACTTTTGGACTAATAGACTGATTAGGCATTGATGAGGAGATTCTCAAGCAACATTCTGAATTTCTATGTTCCTTCACTTTGCCAGCAGTCACTTTTAGATAGATGTAAGAAGACATATCCTACCTCATGAAGATTTTGTTTAGAATGTACAGTAGGAAACAAGAAAAAAAGGGCTGGATGAAGGTCAATGCAGCATGAATGAGAAATAAAAGCACCACAAGTGCTTGGTTGGTTATTAAAGAAGAAATATATCTGGGTATTTGTGTCCATCTAAACAATTCCACAAGTTCTCTTTATAGAGTGGTAGGAATGATGTTTCATACAAGCATTTTCAGACAGAGACCCAAATGATATTGGTGGAGCTCAATCAAGTATCTTGTACATTTCTTGAAAAATCTTTCTTCATTGAACTCAACTTTCTAAAGTATAAATTGACATCATATGAGAAAGTTATCGCAAGGCATTTAACTAGCCATAAAATAACAATGTGATTCTTCTGTACAATGCCATGTAACTTCTATGAGAGTCAACAAACTAGCTATAAGTACTCTGCTATCTGGCTTTTAAATGCCCATTCATATAAAAAAAAGAAATTAGCTAGTTATTCAGTCAAAGTTAGACATAATTTGCGTTATGAATATCAGATGCATGTGTATGCATTAGTGACATTGATATCTAATAAGATTTTTATGGTTAAAAGGGATAAGCGAGAGGACATAGCAATATGGTTTTATTTTACATCACCACTGTGGGCCTGAAAGGTTGGATCATATTTGCAACTTTTTTATTGGAAGTAGATGGATACAATTATGTTTGAATTGGTGGAAGATGACTAGAATTGAACATCCATTGCATTGGTTATAGAACAACTGTTACTGGGAAAAATTGGTCACACTTAATGGGAATATGAGTCCCTCTTCTCATTAGTTTGTATTAAAATACTACATAAATATAAAGACTTGATAAGTCTCAAGTTGGTAGTTGGAATTTTCTACTTCAGCTGCCACATTGTACCAAAATATGATAACCCAAACATACACCTAAATCAAGAGAGTGATAAATTTCCATATTGAACGTTCTACTTTGATCAATCTTCAAATAGTTTATGTTGTATATTATTAACTTCATATTATATTAAGATATTAAGATTACATAGTATACTATCTTCTATGTTTGAGCAATTTGCTTGTGCAGAATTCACAGAAAAAGAAAAGTATTTATACATCATTAAATAATATTTCATACAGAATTCAACGGTAAGTTACTTGCATAAAAGGGACGGCATATAAGTTTACATTTAAGCTTCGTTGCAGGTGATACTAACATACATGATATTGATGTACAACTTCCGTAAATTATCAGAGTTAAGATGTACTAACCATTGAAATTAACGTCTCACCTTGATTTTCTTAGACTGCTGCTGCTTTGTCTTTTTACGACCGATGATTGCCTTAAACCAATCTCCAGAACCCATTCTCTTGAGATGCAATTTGGGTTGGCTATACCAGCGTATAACTTAGACCTGTTAAAGGACCACCATTATTTGCAAATGCATTAAGTAAACGGTATGATTTGTCTTTGCCTAATCTAACTAATGACAACAAGATTTATAACATTGTTACAATACTACAAAGGAATATACAAGACAAAATTCACAACAGATGAGGAACAAAATCTTCTAATATGTCAAACATCTCCATATTTGAGTTGTAAGCTATCAAAAAGTAGGACTAGGTGGCTGGCCTCTTTGAATTCTAAACACAATTAGTTACTAAGGTTAATGATGATGAACAAAATCTCATGAAATATAAGATTTTGGCAATTGAAACACATATCGATTCGAATTTCCTTGCACGAACTTATTCTAGAGCTGGAGATCCTTAAGTTCCCAATCCAAGGAACAGAAACAGACTTATAAGCATCATCAATGACAAGCCCTACACAGTGATCTGCCTCTTAACTATCAAAACAAATGAGAACACCAAACAATTTCAGAAAATAAATCGCAGAATGTTCATAATTTGATCTTCGAACGGAAGGATCATAATTGACATTAATCTGTCACGAATCAGCCATGGGCATCAGAATGCTGAATGCATTCATCCACCAAATCCTAATTGAAAGCACTAAGAAACCAACCGTTAACAATCAAGTCCCCACAATGTGATCCAAATGACCAAATAAGAAACAAGAAGGTGAACACTAAAATTTTGCCATAATGGTGTCCAGATGCAGAGCACAATTTATCTAATAAAGCCAAGTGCACACAGCAAAACACATAATCCCTACACAATTTTGCAAAAATAATAAAAAGGGTCATCCAAATTAGGCTTTGCCCTAACAAAGACATCTCAACATTGTAACCAAATTACCAAACGAAAGGGAAACTATACCTTAGGAGAATGAGTAGAGAGAGAAAGAGAGAAGCCAAAAAACCCGAGAACCCACAAGAGGAGGAAGAAGAAGTAGAAGCAGTGTGGACTTTGTAGAGATGGAAAGACGCTTGGTGGGTGGATGAATGTAGGTAGCAAACAAATAACTATGGGCCAACAAGCACACTTCTCTCTTCTACCTTTTCTACATTCTTGACTTTTTGGGCCCTTTTCCCTCTCTCTCTCCCCTCTCTCTCTCTCTCTTTCTCTCTCCTCTCTCATTTCTCTATCTCTCTCATCAACTCCAATCATTGTGGTTGTGGCAGTTGCAGAGTTGAGTTTCACGAACCCCACAGAAAGAAGATAACAGAGACACGGGAACAACCAACATCTAAATCCGACGGGTGGATTTTGCGTAGATTGTTGAGAATTGATGACTTGTCTTCTTCCTATTGTGGTTGGTAAGCTTGAGATATAATTAGGAGATGAACCTGCCAACAAATAATTGATTTATAAGCCACGAGAAAATTAGGAGATGTACCTACCAAGAAACAATGGACAAATTTTGGACATAGTACTATTTGGACTTTTATTTGTAAAAAACGACCCATTTCAAACTTAATTATAAAAGGCGACCTGGTTTTAGTCCTGTCGCTGAAACTAGGTCGGTTTCTGGAAAAAAAAATTACGAAACTTCACGAGAGTTTAACTCCCGTGAAGTTTAGTATTTTTTTTAACTTCACGGGAGTTCAACTCCCGTGAAGTTTCATTTCTTCAAAAATCTTCACGGGAGTTGAACTCCCATGAAGTTTTACCAACACAACAGACTTCACGGGAGTTGAAATCCCGTGAAGTCTGTTAGAGTGTTAAAATGAACTCCCATGGAGTTACAGGCCAAATTTCCCAGAGAATCGCTCTCTGGGAATTTTACACTGCAACTTCACGGGAGTTGAACTCCCGTGAAGCTGCAGGTTTTACTAAACACGCACAGGCTACTGTGTTGTGCATGTTTTGTATACATTTACCTGTTTTAACTCATATATATAACTATTTACCTGTTAACAACAATTACTACAATATATATATGATTTAAACACGCACGAATCAAACAACACTAAAAAAGAGTACATATATGAACAATAACTGATTCACAAAAGTATAGTATTTGAAAATTCATAAAAGTTACAAATTTTAACAAAATAAGTTCAAATACAATCCAATATAGCTCCTCTCCTTCCTCTCCCTCTCTTCCCCCTCCCCCTCGTTCTTCCCCGCCCCCCGCGATCCTGCTGATGAGCCTTGACTATCTGAGTATCCGGCTGTGTATGAGGTTGAAAAGTGCCGACTCCATCAGTATGTGAAGTGCCGGCTCCATCGGCATGTGAAGTGCTGGCGTCATCGTCACGTGACCGTCGGCGCCGAGTGTACGCCTGCCCAAATGATCGAGACCTGTCCTCACGGCCTGCGAACTCGTCGACGTGAGTCTTATGAAACACATGCTCTATGGTCTTCTTGATCCTGCTGAGGAGTCCTAACGCCACCGAATCATGAATCTCAAGCACGTGCACATCAATATCAGCCTCAATGCTATCAAAAGTATGGACCTGTGAGGTAAACAATTTATTAAGTACCAAATTGATAAAAAAATATTATAATTTAACTTAGAAACTTACGTAATCTCTCTCGTTCATCCCACTATGGATGTAAATGTCTGTCGGTGGCGTGGCATGTGTCCAGCTGATGGCTGTAGGTCACGCGTGATCCATCTACGTGTAATATCCCAATACCAACGTATATATGCGGTATAGTCAACAGCTGTGGGCCTCGTATCCTGAATGAAATCCCACATGTGAGCCTACCTGTCTATGTAGGCCGCACGGACTACGGCCCAGTCGGTATGGTGCGAAGTAGGTCACCGCCGACGATCGATCTGCTCGACAGGATCTGGCACATACTGAGAGAGCGTAAACTTCCATAACACTATGTAGTAACACTAATTTATGTCATACATATGTTATACATATATAGTAACACTAATTTTTACATTATTGATAATTTCCCCTCTAAATCGACAAAATTATTTAAGTTTTCTTCAAAAAATTAAGAAATAATTCACAATGAAATTCTAAAATCTAATTTTTTACATGTAATCAACATGAAATAGTGAGAAAATAAAAGAAATTAAGAGAATAAATTTTTTTGGGAGGATTTTCCCTTCAATCTGTCGAACTCCGGCGATAAAGGCGGTTCCGACGGTCGGAAATGGCCTGGGGCGGCGGCGGTTGGGACGAGGGAGAGAGGGCTAGGGTTTGGGGCGGCGGCGTGAGAAATAAGATCGGGTCTGAGTACACGCGCGTTTATATATGGAGGCCGAAACTCCACGGGAGTTCAACTCCCGTGGAGTTGTAATCTAAAATTCCCAGAGAGCGATTCTCTGGGAAATTTAGCATGTAACTCCAGGGGAGTTAAACTCCCGTGGAGTTTTTAATCCTCTAACAGACTTCACGGGAGTTCAACTCCCATGAAGATTTTTGAAGAAATTAAACTTCACGGGAGTTGAACTCCCGTGAAGTTTAAAAATATACTAAACTTCACGGGAGTTGAACTATCGTGAAGTTTCATAAAAAAATTTCAGAAACCGACCTGGTTTCAGCGACAGGGCTGAAACCAGGCCGGTTTTTATAATTAAGTTTGAAAGGGGTCGTTTTTTGTAAATAAAAGTCCAAATAGGACTGTTTTAAAAATTTGTCCAAGAAACAATTGATTTATACCCAAGAATTGTTTTTAAATATTTTTGAAGGGAGTGAATTTGTCTTATTTTGGGACAAATTTTTGAAATAGACCTTTTCAAAAATAAAATTATCAATTTCGATCTATTTATAAAATATTTATCAAAATCAACCTAGTTTTAGTCACGTCAACAAAACTAGGTCGATTATGATAAAAAAAAGTTCTCGAACTCCACGAGATTGGCAGTTCCGTGAAGTTAAATTATGTGTTAAACTCTCCAAGATTCCCAATCCTGTAGAGTTTACGAATTTCTTTTTTTCAAAATCAACCTAGTTCTCAAAAAATTTATCAAAATAGATCTAGTGTCAGCCAACGTGGTAGAAACTAGGTCTATTTTGATAAATATTTTGGGACTATGTCTATTTTGATATTTTTTGGAATAGGTCTAATTCAAAATTTTGTCCTAGATTTTGGTATCAATGCTGATTTTGATTAGACAGCATAAAGGAAGAAAATTACTATTAATTCATTTCTTATTTTACAATTTTTGAATAAAATATATTTTGAACTAGGGCCAGGACCCAGCTCGACCAGAGCAAGCCTAGATTGACCAGGATCCGGTTGCAATCAGGCACAGGGTCAGACTAGGCTCAGGCCTAAGCCTGGGACCAGAGTCATGGGCCCGACCCACGCAATCCAATCCCAACCCGTATAGGGTTGCCCAGGATCTCGACTGAGTCTGGCCCGTTATAGCTTTTAGAGCATGTTTTGCAACTACTTATTTTTTGGCTCTTTATAAATTACTTATTACTTGTTGATGTCATTTACCAAACAGGAGGTTAATTGAGAGTTTGCAGAGTGATTAGAGTCCTCTTACTCCTTCTGATGAGTGATTCTAGGGCTTGTTGTTCTTCCCTGCACTTAAAAGAATTTGTAAGAGGGCGAAGTTGGGTTCTTCGGTTGTTCCTCTGAAGATCAAGTCAGTATGATCTTGAGTGGAAAGTATAGAGTTAGTTCTTTATTATGTAAAAAAAGGCCAGAGAGCGTTACTTCACACAGTGTCGTTTCTTTTATAATGGGTTTGAGGGGCAAGAAGGTAACTTGAGCCGAGTCCAACTAGACAGTTGAGTCTGCAGACATGTGCCATGTGTCAGTTGCTAAAGGAGGTGAGTCACCTGGTCATTTATTATGGGAATGATAGCATGTGCTTGGTGCTAACTGAGTCCGATGAGTTATAAAGACTATAGGGGATAGAATAATGATGATGTTGTTAGGATTGTTAATACGAGAGTAATTGGCTAGCGAGGGGTTCGAGATAGCTACTGTCCTTCGACTCATTAGGTTTAAGGTCGAGAAGTACGTCCTTTTGACTTGATTAAGCGAGATGTAGGCTGAACAGTGGGCTGAGTCAGATTGCTTGTGGAGTTAATTGAGGGGTTGGCCAAGTAGTACCGCCATTTGACTCGGTTATGCGAGATGTTAGTTGAACAGTGGCCTGAGTTGGATTGCTTGTCGAGTCAATTGAGGGGTTGGCCGAGCAGTATCACCTTTTGACTCGGTTACGCAAGATGCCAGTTGAACAATGGGCCAAGTCGGATCGCTTGTGGAGTCAATTGAGGGGTTGGCCGAGTAGTACCGTCTTTTGACTCGGTTACGTGAGGTGTCGGCCTATCAAGTTAGTCGTGCTGAGGCGGAGGTTATCTTGGTCTTAAATTAGTTAGGTTAGGCATAGTGCAAGACACATGTCAGCTTCTCTATGGAGATTAATATTTAGTAATTTAGCGGATATAACATTACTTATTTATTAAATTCCCTATAAAGGTTGTAAAAAAATAAGGTGTTTGGTAAATCCCTTAACTTATAAGGATATTTGAGTAGTTATGTGTTTCATAACTAATAACTTATAAGGTTGTTTTAGTTGTCAAATGACTAAAAAGGACATATTGTTGTATCTCATATTGCGCCAAATTAGTTTATTATTATATTAGTAGATAATTAGTATCAGTAAATTCATTAGTTAATTACCTAGGTAATTAAGAACATTTTAATTATTTCACATTGATTATGATTATTAATTAATAATAAAAATATTAATTAATTAATTTCATATTAATCAAATTTTGTTATTAATAAAATAATTAATTAATTAAAAATTATATATCTAATAATGAGAAATATATTTGACTAAAATATTTCTATGTATTACATTATTTATGGTAATTAATTAATAATATTTAAATTAATTAATAATTTCATATAAAAATAATAATTAACAATAAATTTATTTATTAATTAAAAAATAATTAATAATTATAATTCTATAATAATAAAATATTTAATTAAAATATATTTTTATATATTATACTTAGCATTATGTCACATTATTTATTGTTATTAATTACTAATGTTCACATTATTATTATTTAATAGTAATTATGATTATTAATTAATAATATTGAGATTAATTAACTAAATTCATATTAATCAAATATT